TTGTTCTAGTTCTGTGAAAAATGCCATTGGTAATGTGATAGGGATTATATTGAATCTGTAGATTGCCTGGGGTAGTATGGTCATTTTAACAATATTGATTCTTCTAATCCAAGAACACGGTATATCTTTCCATCTGTTTCTGTTGTCTTCAATTTCTTTCATCAGTGTTTTATAGTTTTCAGAGTAACGGTCTTTTGCCTCCTTAGGTAGGTTTATTCCTAGGTATTTTATTCTGTTTGATGTGATGGTAAATGGGATTGTTTCATTAATTTCTCTTTCTGATATTTTATTGTTAGTGTATAGAAATACAACAGATTTCTGTGTATTAATTTTGTATCCTGCAACTTAACTGAATTCATTGATTAGCTCTAGTAGTTTTCTGGTAGTGTCTTTAGGATTTTCTATGTATAGAATCATGTCATCTGCAAATATTGACAGTTTTACTTCTTCTTTTCCCATTTGGATTCCTTTTATTTCTTTTTCTTCTCTGATTGCTGTGGCTTGGACTTCCAAAACTACGTTGAATAAAAGTGGTGAGAGTGGGAATCTTTGTCTTCTTCCTGATCTTAGAGGAAATGCTTTCAACTTTTCACCATTGAGTATGATATTAGCTGTGGGCTTGACATGTATGGCCTTTATTATGAAGAAATAGCTTCCCTCTATGCCCACTTTCTGAAGAGCTTTTACCAAAAATGGATGTTGAATTTTATCAAAAGCTTTTTCTGCATCTATAGATGATCATACATTTTAAAATATTTATTTATTTATTTATTTGGCTGCACCGGGTCTTAGTTGTGGCATGCGGGATCTTCGTTGCCATGTGCAAGATCTTCGCTGTGGTGTGCAGGATCTTCAGTTGCAGCATGCAGGATTTTTTTTTTTTTTTAAGTTGTGGCATGTGGGATCTTAAGTTGTGTCATGTGAACTTTTGGTTGTGGCATGTGGGATCTAGTTCCCTGACCAGGGATCAAACCTGGGCCCCCTGCATCAGGAGCCTGGAGTTGTAGCCACTGGACCACCAGGGAAGTCCCAAGATGATCATATGATTTTTATCCTTCAGTTTGTTAATGTGGTGTATCACATTGATTGATTTGTGGATATTAAAAAATCCTTGCATCCTGGGATAAATCCCACTTAATCATGTTATATGATCCTTTTAATATATTGTTCGATTTGGTATGCTAGTATTTTGTTGAAGATTTTTGCATCTGTGTTCATCAGTGGTATTGGCCTGTAATTTTCTTTTTTTGTGATATCTTTGTATCTTTGTATTCCTTCCTCTGCAGTTTTTTGGAATAGTTTCAGAAGGATAGGTGTTAACTCTTTTCTAAATGTTTGGTAAAATTCACCTGTGAAGCCACCTGGTCCTGGACTTTTGTTTATTGGGAGTTTTAAAATTACCTATTCAATTTCAGTATTGGTAATTAGTCTGTTCATATTTTCTATTACTTCCTGGTTTGGTCTTGGGAGATTGTACCTTTCTTTAGACTTGGGAATGGAAGACGTTACACTATTCCTAGAGCTTTAGATGGCCGTCCCCATTCATTTCTCTAGCTACAACCTTCTTTGTGAAGCAATGACCTTGAGCAATAGGTAATATGCTACTTAGATCCTATGCTTTCCTTCTGTACCACACGGTAGGTAAGACCCCTGAATTCCCTGCTCAGATGGCTTCAAATCTCCTTTCAAGAACTTTAAGGCTTCTTGTTGGGGGTCCATCCTCCAAAGGGTGAACTGTGCTACTGGTATGCTCAACCTAGGTTGAATAGAGGACCAGAGTTGGCATCTTTTTGTAGCAGAGGAGGGACACAGCTGGGACATGAAGACTGGGATGCTCATATATGTGCTTGTGTGAAGTCCTTCATGGTATGGGATTTACCTAGCATCAGGGAAGAAATAGAAATGGGGTTGACTAAGGTTAGGAGTTGGCTCTGGATGGACTACCACATGCTGGCATGAAATTCTGAGAAGTCCAAATATTTTAAATTTGAACCTGGCCTTCCAGTATCTTTCTAAAGTAGGCAAATGGAACATACTTAGAGTTTAATCTTCTTTGAAGAATGATTTATCATTTAAAAATATTTAGACATTTGGTATGTGAGCTCTATACTTCCATTCTTTCCTTGGACCCCACATTTTTAGAGGCTCTATTTATTTTAATACTTGGAAATTGTAACTAAATGTTATGTAACTGTATAAATACAAATATAATTTTGTGTAAATGCAGTGTTTTCAAAGGATACATTATGATTTAAATATGATAGCATTTCTATATCTACTAATGACAATATATTTTTAGTAAATTTCCTAGCCTTTTAGATCTTATAACAATCTTGAATTTATTTATACTCTTATTTTAGTGAATCATATTCAAATTTAAAAATCTAAATTACTTTCAGTATTCTTGGATAAGATTAAATTTAGCAGTTGATACCTTTTGGCTATTTTGGTATCTGAATCTCATTCTGATTTCTTTCTTTCCTTTTTTTTTTGATTATGAGAGAAGAAACACTATTGTTTCTCAAACATCATTAATTTAACATAGAAAATAATTTACCATTTTGTTAAACATCCTTATGTAGTGCATTGAAAAGAACCACATTTCTCATTATTTGCATATATTTTGTTATTTCCTTATCTCTTGGTTCAGATTAGTCCTGATTCAGTGTATGCGTGTCATATTCTTCTCATTCCTGATCTTTCTTTCCATCTAAACATTTTTTCCAAACCCAACATATTTTTAAATAAAGATATGTAATGATTTAAGAACTTTTTTTTCTGTCACAGATGTAATTTTTCACATTTATTTAATCTCATATTTTAGGAGAATTGATTGTTTGATGAGAGTTGTTAATACTTTTTATTAATATGAAGAGATATAGTCTGAAGATGTTAAAATGTAATTATTCAAACAGAATTTATTGACAGTATATCTCTATACTCCTATATGGGAGGGTAGAGGGTGCAGTGTAGACAATAGTAATTACATGCATTCCCTGAGGAATAAAATCAATTCTGATTAGAAATTTATCTGAAATAAGAATAATCACTGGATAAGTATCTTAGAGGCTCTCCAATGGGAAAAATGCTTAGAATTTTGGACAGTTATTTTGACAGTTCTCAGATTTTATTAGTTGTATCTTGTCTTACTATTTATATTCTGAATGGTTAGCTTACCATTTTAAATGAGCTCTGATAGTTCTGGTTTGCCTTTAAATTTACGTGTAAGAGTCATATAAGACCTATAATATTGTTATTATGAAAGGTATTTAGATGGGTAATTTTATGTGCCTCTGTGAGATTTTTGAATCACCCCTGATAAACAGTGGGTGTGTTTTGTAAAATTGTATCCACAGTTCTAAAGGAACTCATTGTTTCTTCTGGAAAATACCTTCTGAATTTCAAGCAAGCAACTTACAAATGAAATTTTAGATACAGAATTGTTTTTAAGTTTGCTTGATGGATAATATAAATTGTTTATTTGTGGAAATTTAAAGTAGATAATTGAAAGTATTAGTGTTTCAACAATCCAATAGACTGAGGAAAGAAGCCATTCTGTTAGAAACTATATTAATTGAAATTCCACCGGTCTCGATTAATTAACTCTCTACAGTCAAATAAAATAAGAAACTGCAAACTGGATGAGTTAAATAAGCTTATTATAAATCACTGAAGTGTGGTATCAAGAAATGGAACACATTCACTATAGAAAACAGTTTATCATTTCTACTGTATTTTAATAGAAATGAGAAATTATGATGACCAGTTATGTTTTTCCAAAAGACTATAAAGTTACCAGAATGTGTTTTTGTTTATTGAAAATTATTATAACTTTTATTATACAAATAAAATATGCTTACAATCTAAATTTGTAATATAGAAGTATGCAGTGTTAGATGTATAAATAATGCCAATGCCAATTAATTTCAATGTACTCAAACATTTTTACTAAAATTAAAAAAAAGGTAAGTTTTTTCTATTCATGTAGGTGGCAGAATGCTTGTATGTAAACATGCAGAAGTGAAGAAAATCCAATGATCTAGCTCAGAGTAAAAGCCAAAGTGTTTCCAATGCTTACAAAGGCTTTTTTGCACCTTCTTTGCCTCTCTGTTTAGTGCACGTTCAACCTGTTCCTGAAACATACCTATACCCTCCTGCCTCAGGGATTGGTACTTACTCTTTCCTCTTCACTGCCTCACCTCTAAGACGTTACTTAAATGTCACAACCTCAGTAAGGCCTTCTCTGGTCATACTATTTAAAATTTCAACCCTCTTCCCCATTTCTCAGCCTTATTTTTTCCCATTGTACTTTCTACCATATTTTTCAGTTGACTCATTTACAGTTTTTATTGCGACTCCTCACTCTAAGTAAGATCCATGAAGGCAGGGAGTTTTTGTTCAGCTAGTGCACTGCTGTATTCCTAGTGTCCAGAATAGTGCCTGATAAATATTTCTTGAATAAATCTAAAGCTTTCTCTATATCTATTTTCTATCAAAATAGACATGTAAATATTTAATTGAATACTGATGAGTATACCTCAATTTGTGGCAAATTGGATATGAAGACAAATGGGTAACTAGAGTACATTTGTCATTGGTCTAGTTATTTGATCACATAATAGATGCTATTATAGGTTGTTTATGGAGTACTAGAAACCATTTAAAGTTCTTTACATATATTAACTAATTTATGCCTCACAACAATCCTATGAAACAGGTGCTCTTATCAGCTCCATTTTATAGTTGAGGAAACTAGAGATTAAAGTATCCCTTGATGTTGCAACTAACATGTAAGAAGGTAAGATTCATACCAGGACAGCTGGTATGTTCAGAACCTATTGTCTTAATGAAAGGCTCCTGGTTAAAATCCTGCACCATTGTTGCTTTGCTTTATTTGTATACTTTTTATTCATTTTTCTTTCAGTAAAACAGAAAATTTTTGAAGTAATCATATATGTTCGTGGTTTCATAATCATTTATTTTATTTTTGCTTTTTTCAGTGGGATGCCATCACTGAAATGGATGAACACAATAGGCCCATTCACACATACCAGGTATGTAATGTGATGGAACCAAACCAAAACAACTGGCTTCGTACAAACTGGATCTCCCGTGATGCAGCTCAGAAAATTTATGTGGAAATGAAGTTCACACTGAGGGATTGTAACAGCATCCCATGGGTCTTGGGGACTTGCAAAGAAACATTTAATCTATATTATGTGGAATCAGATGAGTCCCATGGAATTAAATTCAAGCCAAGCCAGTATACAAAGATTGACACAATTGCTGCTGATGAAAGTTTTACCCAGATGGATTTGGGTGATCGCATCCTCAAACTCAACACTGAAATTCGTGAGGTGGGGCCTGTAGAAAGGAAGGGATTTTATCTGGCTTTTCAAGACATTGGGGCATGCATTGCCCTAGTTTCGGTCCGTGTTTTCTACAAAAAGTGCCCCTTTACTGTTCGTAATCTGGCCATGTTTCCAGACACTATCCCAAGGGTTGATTCTTCCTCCTTGGTTGAAGTAAGGGGCTCTTGTGTGAAGAGTGCAGAAGAGCATGACACTCCTAAACTGTATTGTGGAGCTGATGGAGATTGGCTGGTTCCTCTTGGAAGGTGTATCTGCAGTACAGGATATGAAGAAATTGAAGGTTCTTGCCACGGTAAGAAAGAAATATTTAAATAATTATTCATGCATTCAAATGATAGTTTTTTAAAGGTAAATTGGCTGTATATTTATTTTCAAATAATACATTTTCAAATACTATTCCTGGAAGAATTAATTGTGGAAGAAATTAACTCATATTAACTATAAGATAATTTCTGATTTTTTTTCCTCCTGGGAATGGTGTATGAAAATGTAAAATAAATTATATACCATGACAAGTGTTCTTCCATATTGCCTTCAGTTAGAATAGTTGCTGTATGAATTGCTATATTTACCTGATTTTTATAAAGGAAAGCAACATCAATAGCAGCAACAAAAAGCAAAAGGGATCAAAGCAGGCATTTGCTTAACTTTTATGTTTTGGTGGTCTACAGAGAATATGACATTTAAAGACAGTTTGAAAACAATTCTTTCTTTCATGTTGAATTGTAATAATTGAATAGTACCTAGGTAAACTGAAATTATATTTAAATAAATGAGGAATTCATATGTTTGCATATGAATCATACATATGTTTAAAAATATATAGGATAGTTTATAGGAATGTTATGTGTTTGGTGATTGAGTACTGAGTATATCAGAAATTAATTTATCCTTTGCTACTATTAAATACAATTTCCTACCATATAACACATTAGCTTTTTTTGTTTAAATAGCAGTACTTGTGCAAGATCGAATTGTTAGGAAGTATGAACACAGTGCAATGCTGATTAAGTTTAAAGCCATACCTTTCATGTAGTTATGATATGAAATATCTGCAATTTTCAAGATAATACAGTTTTTTTATTTGAATCATTTTATGAAGGCTTATTAATCTAATAAATATATACACTTAAAAATTTTTGCATATCCCCTGATAAAGATAATTTATATCAATTATGTTTGGATTTAGGACTCATAATCAAAACACAAATAAAGAAATAAAATTGATGCTTGGTAAATAATAACATAGTAGAGATCTTTTCCTCTCAATGGTAAATTATTTATAGTTTTTTTTCTATAGCACCATACTGAATTTACTTACTTTTTTGGTGACGTTCGGTGGTATGTTGCCACCCATTAAAAGGGATGAAAGTAAATGAGAAGAAAACATATTTGTTTCTATATAAGGGTCAGTGGTAATATATGTGAATTTTTAAACGTTTTATCTATTTATGAAACGCTTGGGTTCTTGAATGCTGAAAAAGTTCACTAAATCCACCGGTGATGATTATGTTTGGTCATTTGAAAGTACTGTTTGTATGAAAAGTCTGTAGTATATTTATTTAAAGTGTGAGCCAACTTTCCTTCACTATTCAATCATTAAAATATGTTTCATTGAAATTTATATAGATTTAATTCAAAATTTTTATTCACCTGTAACAAGGATTTAGAATAAAACAAAAATAAGTTATCAATATAAATGATCCTTTGAAGGGGCACTATAGAATATTTTACATTGGAAAATGCAACATGAATAATTTTTCAGTGAGATTAAGAAGGCAATAATAGCCAAGGATAAAACATATGACATATACTAACCATGTAGTTTTACCATATTTTATAGTAGGTAGATGCTGGATATTGGTAAAAATAATAAAGCTTTAAAATTATTTAAACAATAATTATCTAAGGATTTATGTGATTAATTATTATTAAATATATTTTATGGCATTGATCACAGAATTAGAGGTAGTGACAATCATTGATGACTAGATGTTTTTTGTTTAATATGTCTGCTCTGTGAAATTTCATTCTTGTTTGCATGCCTGAAAATTCCTTCAGTTGTTGGCAAAGATGACTTTGGATATATGATAATTATCAGCTTATCTAGAGCTACTGCTAGACTCATTCATTTTTATGGCTTGTTATCTTTATTATAATTTATTTGACTGCAGAAGTGAGAGAGTGGGTACAGTACAAATGTTCATCATCTTCTTCTAGCAGATGGCAGAAATTGGAAGATTATACTTGGATTCTAAATCCATGGCTTACTAACTTCCTTATCCAAAAATAAATTAGTGGTTATAATCAATTAATGGTAAAGTATATGGAAAACTGTTACATGCAAACACATGTGCCTGGTTCCAATTGAATACAATGAATTGCTATTTACAAACAGAAAGGAAGTGGATGTGGAGACCTCATTTTTAGAGAAAGGTATCTTACACTATCACTAGTTTCCATTTTAAAGTATTTATTTAAGTGTGTTCTTGATTCTTCATATTGCCCCTTTCTATCCTCTGATAATAATTTTTTATCATGGATTCTGTTGCAGTCTGTCAACAATTTATCTCACAACCAAATCTCAGAATTACCTATAACCTACATGACAAATTAATTGAAATTTATGTGAATAAAGAATAGCTCAGGCAATAATGTGACCGTATGTTTATGTATATAATGAGAAAAGAAAAAACAATGTTTATCATTTTCTTTTCTTCTGGCTTATTCTGTTAGAGCTTTTATTTTAGCTATTTTTTTGAGTACCTACTATCTGTTAATCATTTTGATAGGTAGTAGAGATAAATATAAATAGAGGCATATGTTTCAATGATCTATTGCTATTGAGGTAAAATAACCCAAAACTTAATAACTTAAAGCCATAATAATTTATGATTTCTTAGGGCTCAGATGGGTAATTCTTCTGCTTATTGTAAAATAAACAGAGGTCACTCATGTAGCTGAATTCAGCTGGGAGATTAACAGGGGTTGGAATGTCTAAGATGACCTCTTATATTCCAGGGCCTCTCTCTACATGGCCTTACATCATTAAAGAATCTGACACAAGCTTTTTTACAGTATAGTGGCTGGCCGAAGAGGGAGTTTTTCACATGGCCAGGTATAAAGTGAGTATGCGAGGGGACTGCAAAAGGGGCTGAATGCCTGTAAGTATGTTTATAGGGAGCTGCCAGTGTAACAGTATACCACAGTCTTCTCTCTTAATTCTTGTGACTAATGTCCCTCCTTCATGCACAAAAGCCCACATCCTCCCAAAGATCTATTCCATTATGGCCTTGTGTTGAAGTCCAGAAGAGCTTCAGTGAAATCTCTTCTGGATATGAATAAAGCTTCATAGCTAAAACTCTCCTTCATCTGGAGAATTAAAAACTAAACGAGATGTTATCGTTCCTCACACACACAACACACATGGGACAGGATTAGGAAAACTGTAAAAGATTCTCACATTCCTGAAGGCAGGGAACATAGCAATCACTGGTCCATTGTGATTCTGAAATCCAGCAAAGGTCATCAGAGTCCCTAATTATAGAGGCAAGGGCTGTTCCTTGCCTGGAGCCCAGTTCTGCAACCTGGGATTAGTTCTCTGTGGCTCTTTGTCTTCATTACTCTTGACTTTGCCCTCTGAGTTATCCTCCTTAGTTATAAGAATTTCCATGTGGCCAGTTGCTAGTTTCACCATCTTTCAGGAAAACTTCGTAATTTGATCCACAACATTATGAAGTACATTTTGTGTCTTCCAAGTTATCACAGGTAGTATTTCTCACCAATTGTTGGTTGACCTTTCATTATCTCCAATAATAATTAATTTACTGCTCTTCCATCCTCCAGTCACAGCCTTCTTGCCACCCTTCCAGCCTCCACAGTTTTTTCATTACTAAAGCAAATGGCACATGTTTTAGCTTTTTGTTAAAACAGTATCCTTTATCCTGTATAAGTTATTTGCTTACAATCTGGAAATATGGACTGGGTTCAGTTGGCTGGTTCTTCTGCTGGTTTTATCTGGGTCACTCAATGCCACTGCAGCTATTTGGAGGTTTAACAAGGCTGGACATCTAACATGGCTTCACTCACATGTCTGATACTTCATCTGAGATGTTTGAGGCCCTAAAGTTGCTTATTGTGTAAATCCTGATAGCAATTTTAATACATTTCATTTTAGGAAATTATTCTATTTTTTCTTTCTCTTCCATTAGAACTAGTTAGTCATTGTGCCATTCAAGGGACTTCACAATTTGGCCTTGTCTTATTATTTTCTGACTTTGGCAAATTCTGTCTCCTGTTTTGTTTTTGTTACTTTTGAATAATCCAAGTATTTTTCATGTTTCTTGCTCTTTTTTTTTCATGTTTTATCTAGCTGCTTGGTGTCCCTTTCTTCTTCCTTTTCTGTGGTGGAATTTTATTCATCCTTTAGGGTCTAGCACAAATATATATATCACATATATATAGCACATATATCTGTATCTTCACAAAGTTAATGTCTCTGTCATCTGTGCTATAATTTGTTCTAATTATTTATGTGCCTGTTTTACCAGGGCTGTCAGATAAAAGAGATATATTTAAAAATCATTTGTGTAATGAAAGGTAAGGAATTTATTGATGTGAATGATAAGTAGTACCAGGTTCTACTGAATAGTTAAGAGGTAGAAGTTGTTGGTATAATGACAGAATGCTCTGTGTCTTCATATTTCTGTGAAATAGGAAAGTTTTCTTCAGGGAGGGTTGTGGTATTTTAGATCTGGAAAGCCTTTGAAAATATTTTTATCCCTCATTTTATGAATCAGGATTCTAAGTTATAGAGAACAGAATTTTATTCCCTGGGGCCACTTGGTAACTAATACTAGATTTATAACTAAAGCCTAGATAATTCTCAGTCTGGTCTTTGTGTGTCTTTCCTCCCTCCCTCCCTCCCTCCCTCCCTCCATGTCTCCTTCTCTCCTCCCCTTCTTCACTTCCTCCCTTCCTTTCTCTTTCTCTTTCATTTCCTTATTCCAAGCATCCATGCTCTCACCTTGATGCTTTAACTTTTCCTGCCTGCCAAACAATACAGAGGAGCCCTTAGTTACTCATTATTAATTAATCCCTTTTTGCTCTGTGTTTATTTTGTGGAATCTGATATGGGCACTGTTAGAACAGTATCTACACATCCATTCTGAGATTCAGGCTACCGAGAATGATGGAAAAATATAGATTTATCTGGGACTTTGCTGTTAGACATGATAAATAGGAAAAATTATAGTGAGGTTTTAGGAATACTCATAATTTACTTGAGTACATTTGAGAACTCTTGGCCTGCTACATAACAAAGGTACAATAAGCTGGTTTAAAATAGAATAAATCTATATCTACCCATACTATCATATATAATGAATTGTGTATATTTTCGATCAGGTTTAAATAGACATAAACATTATATTAAGCAGATATGCTAAAATTTAAAACCAAACACAGTAATTTGGGTAACTCTACATTATAGGCAGTATTTTATACTTGCTCCGATATCTTATTTTTCATAACTTTTTATTTTATTTCATAGGTTCATAATTGAAACTGCCATACTTAGTCATATTGATGTTACAGATTTAATTTTTTTAATTGTCTTAATTTATTCCACTAAGGGCTTGAATATAAAATAGCACAGATTCATAAAACATTAATTTACATCAAATAGTGTTTCACTTCATATAACTAAGAATATCTTAACACTATGGAAGAAAATTGGAATCAATTAACATGGAAAATTGAATAATTTTTGTTGAGTTGTGAGTTCCGAAGTGACATGAATCCCTAATAAACTCCTGTTGGATATTAATTTAGAATAAACCTCATTTAGGTAGTAACACTTGTACTTAGAGATATTAGTTAGGGTTTGGTATTTCAGACCTGCTATGAATATATATGTATATTTATTGCAAAGGTATCTTCTTTAAGCCTTTAAGTATCACATGATATAATTTAACAAAATAACATCTGGCTATGAAAGTAAAGTTCTAAAACATAAAGAATATTTTATAACTTTTTCTCTTCCTAGAAACATGTTTTTATTTTCCCTCTAGTGCTGCTTAAAAATTCTGGAGGAAAGGATGGTGGCAATTCTTGGACCATTGCATTATTGTTCACAGAGGTGAATGGGATATGCAGGGCCTTTGGTGACATAGCTATCGATTTGATCTCCTGAAGAGTGTGTTATTAAGGCTTCATGACTCTGTCCTCTGTTGCAATTCAGAAGCATTTATGCTCTGTGTTTATGATCTTCTGTCTAATCATGTTATCAGAGATGATTGTGGAAGCAGAGAGCATAAAGAAATTTTGAAACACCAGGATTTGCTGGCATTAAATAAGGGGGCTTGAGGGTATGATGAAAAGCTGAAAGGTGAGATTGGGATCAGAAAAAGGGGAAGACTTATTGGCCCAAATAGTATTTTTACTTTCTAAAGGTTATCACAATGTAAATATAAACTCTTACAATATAACCTTCAATTCCAAATAAAGCTGCTTTATTGCATGAAGCAATTCCAGTTTTTCATCTGGCTTGAGAAGAATATGAAATCAAGAGGCTTGAAGGAGTCTAAAAATAGAAGGTATTATTTCCAAACAAAACATAATAAAGTTAAATAAGTATATTGTACTTTGTTCTTTGTCACAATTTTTAAATAGGTTAAAACATAAACTGTCTTGAAATGATCGTTCTTAATATATTATTTTGACCAAATTTTAACTTCAATTATAGTTCTCTTTTACTGTCAGCCAACCTGAAAGCTATAAATCATATTTCTATAGGAGCTATGCTTAATTTAAAAAATCCTTTCTTAACACATATATCTCTAAGAGGGGATAAAATTATATAGTATCTCTCTTTTCTTTCCAACATGACACACCATGTCACCCCCTGAAATTACTACCTTTCTTGTGAACATTGTCTAGAGTTTTAGTTTGGCTTTTTAAAGAAACAAAATCAATAGTTTCATAAAGTCAGTACTTAGATACACCAAGATATATTAACAGATTTTGTACTTGATATTTTTTTCTATCATTATATCCTTTCTTCTGGGTTCATTATTCCATTTGCTGAAGTATATCCTTTGGTAGATCTTTTGGCAAGGTTCTATAATTTTAAGCCCTTTATTTAATGGATATCTAAAAATATTTTGTCCTCCCTTTTCAATGATTGTTTATTTGGGTATAGAATACTAAGTGACTATTACTTTTCCTCAACACTCTGAAAATATTATTCCCCTGTCCATAAGAATCTCTTGTTGCCAGTGACCTTCTGACAGTCTTAACTGTCATTATTTGGGAGATTACTTATAGGTTCCGTATTTTTGGTCTTCAGTTACATTATTATGTAACTGCTATGGATTATTTTTTCCTGCTTCACTTCTCATTTTGTGTTTTAACCTGAAAAAGTGTGTGTGCGTGTGTTACTTTACTCTGTTTTGTATTTCTAGAATACCTATGAGATATTTGTTGAAGGCTTTCAATATTATCCTCTTTGTCTCCAATATGTTTTTTTTTTTTATTTTCAATCTCAGCTAATTTCCAGGTAATGAATTTTCACTTTGGCTACAGCTAGTTAAGAGATTACTTCATCCATTGAGGTTTTTTTTTTTCATTCTCACTTGTTATTGTTTTATTTCTGCCTACTTTGTTTCATAATTTATTTTTCTTTTTTATGGATACTATTTTATTCTTTATGCATTTTAAAGTCACATTCAAATAAGTTTTGAAAGAAATTGAGTCTAAATATTTCTAAGCATTAGTGTCAGCATGTACTTTGGAGTTATAACTTGTGTGCTAACTTGTTTTCTATGTCTTTTTTTTTTTAATTTAGAGAGTTTATATTTGAACTAATCTTCTTCCCTAAGGCCTTATAAATAGAAAACTGTGGAGCCCTAAGAAATTTACCAAATAATTCATGTTAGTATTACTGGTTGACAGGAGTTCCACTCCATGCATTCAGGGATCTAGGACTTCTTGCATTTAGTGGGCCAGCCATCTCCTAGGGCCTTGTAGTTATCTGTGTCCAGTTCAGAGGTTGTAAAAAGGGATTGGAGAAGGCACATGTGTTCCTTTACCAACTCAGATCTGAAGAGCCACATTAATTCCTCTCAAATACAGCACTGGGAACTGGTTATGTGACCACACCTAACTGCAAATAGGGGTGGGCTGTTGTTAAATGTTATCCCTGGCTCAATAGTCACTTTCCAGCAACAGTTCTTTATCATGGAAGAGGAAGCCCAATTTTTGTAGATACTTGGTTATCTCTGCAGTAGTCTGCCACTTCATCCACAAAGTGTATGTAATCATCCTCATGTATCTGTCAATACAAATTTTTCTCCATCAGGTTCAGATACGTTCTCTTGTCAGCTGGTGACCTACACATTAAATGACAAGCCATTTACCCTAACACAAAATATACAATGGTTGAAATAAGTAGAAAACTGCCATTAAGAAAGGAGAATAGGACTTCCCTGGTGGCGCAGCGGTTGAAAGTCCGCCTGCCAATGCAGGGGACATGGGTTCGTGCCCCGGTCCGGGAAGATCCCACATGCCGCGGAGCGGCTGGCCCCGTGAGCCGTGGCCGTTGAGCCTGCGCGTCCGGAGCCTGTGCTCCGCAACGGGAGAGGCCACAACAGTGAGAGGCCCATGTACCGCAAAAAAAAAAAAAATTAAAAATTAAAAAAAAAAAAAAAAGAAAGGAGAATAATAGGAACTAGTGCTCCATAGCAGTGATGGGCAGGCATTGTGAAGAACCTCAACAGCAGTTGAGTTGATGGTCTTATCAGTCGTTCTCAATGGCCCTTGGCTATGCTATCTGTGAGCTTCTTATTATCCTGACAGTTTTTGAATTAGTTATTGGTGGCTGAACGGCTTTCATACCTGTCTTATGCTCATCTATTTTGGGGACTCCAGAGTCATTTCATAGTTACAGGGTCTTTTAGACCAGACTCATGATTTGTTGGCAATAAGATTTCCTTAAAGTCATAGTAGCCTTTTAATCTATTTGTCAATTCCACGTCTCAGAAACTACACACAAAATCCACACCTGAAGTTTTTTCTTTGTGTATACACACACACACACACACACACACACACACACACACACACGCCCTTCAATTAGGGTAATATTTGAAAGCTGAGAAGACAAAATTCCAAATTTTAGAGCTTTAACATATAGAAGTTCATTTTTAATTTACATTACAGTCCAGGGTGTTCCTGGCTGTTGAGGGCTTTCCTTCATACAGAAAATAGGAGAATTATATCTTTTCCATCTATAGCTCCATTATCTCGTATGACCTTGTAGTCATCTGTATCCAGTGAGAGAAAGAAGGAAAGCATATAAGGTACACATCTTCTTCTTAGAAGCCTTGGCATAGAAATGACATATACATTTTACTCAAGTTGACACACTTGTAAAAATTATATAATCAGTAGAGTCAAAGCTTCTTTGTGTAAGCTTTAATATTAAGCTACATCCAGTATAAATAATCAGGATTTTTTTGATCAACAGACAAGCATTAGGCTATATATTAATGTTCCATCAAACCAGATATAAACTGAACTAATTATGCTAAATTAAACATTAGAATATAAGTTATTTCTGTAAATTTAAACCTTATTCTCTGTCCATAGAAATAAATAGGATTCAACTATTTGAAGAGGGGGTGATTATTTCCATGAATTATCCATAATAGCAAAAAAGAACATTCAGAATAAACTTTCCAGTGGGATATTATGTAGTACATTGAAGATATAATGGCAGAATTTTACCAGAGGAGAAAAATATCTCACTTTTCATTTTATAGGAATAGAGTATAACAAAATATTATATTTAATAAATCTGTATATAATTCAGGTTAAATTTTATTCTAAGCATCATAACAACTATATATAGTAAAATTATATCATGCGTGTTAAAATCTGAGAATAATTTTGTTATACATTTTTTCATTATATGTTCAGAGCTAGCATTAGAACTACAAGGTACGGTTGACTTTGTATCCTCCATATGAAAAAAAATGTAATAATTTGCATTTTTAGAGTATTTACATATCTCAGCTCTAAGGAAGTATATTTCAAAGGACAACATAGTTCTAAGGAGAATAGGCATCAAAGGAATAAAACTTGATACAGAACAAGGAGTGGGTGCGACAGGGTTGAAAAAAGTGTATCTGATATAAATATACTTAAAATGTTTACTTTGATTTAACATATCTTGTTATCCTTTGTGAGAAAAGCATTTTTTATTTTATTTATAGTAACAGTTATTATGATTACCTGGGAAGTGATGATAAACTCGAATACACATTGTGATGATATGGGGGGGACATTCTTAATATTTTTGAGTCCTTTGAAATAATGACTTATAATGAGAATTAAATAAATTGCTGGTGTCCTCAATTATGCACGTGGCCTTTTAAAGAAATAGTTCTCCTTTTCTGTACTTGAATTTTTTTCCCTTTTGGCATATAATACTATACAATGGAAAATTTTAGTATTGCAAATATTTCTCTATCATTATTCTGTATAACCAGTTACTATTTTCAATCTGAGCTTAGGCCAAACTATCTGTTTTTAGGATAAGTTATAATAAATAAAGAATATAGATATTACTGAAAATGGTAGTCTCCATTTTACAGGGAACTATAGAGTGGTGATAAATTTAAAGAGATGGAGATTTCCAGTTGCCAGTTGCTCTATACAAGGACTATCACCATATAAAGAGGCAAGCAGTACCAAAATTGATGGGAACTTTGGGAGCATAAAAACAAGCTCTGCTTTATCTTCAGCAGTGGACAAGGAAGAAGCATGATTTATTCCCATTATTTGACAGTATCAAAGGTGACTGCTATAGAAAGCCATGAAAACCTCTTGAAAGATGCAAACCCTGTTCCTTTGGACAGAGATAAACAACTATTGTCTTGGATAGAATTCTTTAAATAGGATCAGCTTATTTTTTGTTTTTTTCTTAAGATGCCTTATATCCTCATTTCTTTGTTTTGTTTCTATTCTTGTTTTGAAGTTAACTAATACTATTCAGGATGGTTTACTTTTCACCCTACCATGGCAAAAAATTATATTATTTATCTCTACATTAATTAAATATTTAAAATGAAATTAACTGCAAATTTTTTAACTGGTAAAACTTTGAAATGGCAATACATATGGATTATGTGA